TCAATTTCAAGTAAACACAGTTCAATAGAAGACCACACATTCTTTGCATACAAAATGTTTTCTAAAAGGCCTAAATAACATCGTTCTCCCAATAAAACAACCTCCTCTGTTATGGAATCTCAAGATGTTCCTCTGAACTCTCACAGGGAACCTTTGAAACCCCTAGCCACTTGTTCAATACCTAACCTCTCCATGAAGGTCACCTTCCTTATTGTAATTACTAACAACTAGGAGCGTCAGTGAAATAGCTGCTCTAATGGCTGGTCTACCATATACCATCTTTCTAAAAGATAGTCACCTTAGGCCACACTCCAAATTCCTCCCCAAAGTCATATCACTGTTTCACATCAATCCAACCTATTTACTTACCTGTATTCTATCCAAAACCCCACTCGGACACTAATGCAGCTCATGTTCACATGTTGGATGTGTGCAGATCATTACCATTTTACCTAGAAAAGACAAAATCATTTTGAAAATCCCCTCAACTCTTTTTTTCCATTAGTCCCAGAGCAGTCAAAAGGACAAGCTATTTCTAATCCAGTTAATTTCTTAACTTTGAATGAAATAGGCATTGAATTGAACTATAGGTTGAAACTCTCTTAACTGGGATTCTCTAGTCCGGCAACATTCATGGTCTGGCATGGATCAGAGTGTCCCGGTGGAGGCCCAGCGGCAAGGCTGTCTGTGGGCTTCCAGCAATGAACTGATGGCGGGGCTGCCTCACATTTGGCAAGTATGGCTGCCCGATAGGGTTCGGAGATCCGACATGTGATTGTCTGGCAGGGCTGGGAGCCGCGGTAGTTCAGTGGGGCAGGGAGCTGCGGTGCCTGGCTGTTTGGCAGGTCTTGGCACCCCAGCGCAGCTTCCCCTGCAGAACCTGGAGCCCATGGCTGCACAGTGGGTCCTGGAGTCCCAGTGTGGCCTGCATGGCTGCTCTTGGAGCCCCAGAAGCGATGGCTGCACAGCAGAGTTGTCAGGGCAGCAGGAGGTGGGGAACTGGCCAGAAGGCCATGGGGCCAGGCTAGAGGGACCGGTGGCAGGGGTTCAGAAATGACCTCCCCTGGTGCAGGAAGATCCCTCATCTGGGACCAATCAGGTCCCGATGGTGCCAGACCAGGGAAGTCCAATCTGTAGTTGAATAAACTGAACTGAAGCTGCAAAACAATATTTTCTTCATAAGAAGCTACTGTTGTTGCTTAGCACTGTAGCATAGTGGTTTGAGGTACTGGACCTGAATGGCCAGTGGTTCAGTGTTTGCCTTTCTTAATTGGGCAGTAAACATGCACTGCTTAACATTTTTATTTAATATAATGTAATTGATTATAGCAAACGTATGCTTTAACGTAAATTGTCAACACTTTAATTTTAAATAGGTCTATATTAAAAATAAGCCTGTATTTAATTTTAAAAAATCCCATTTAAATGAAATTGAGTTTTGTTATTTGAAAAAAAAAATTATCCACCCTTTTTTATGCAGGATAAATGTTTAAATTGAGACTGAGCAGCAGCTTAGCATTAGTAGTATCCGATGACCTCTTTTGTGACTATTTAAGACATATCTCAATGTACTTAATGTTGAATTCCATCAAAGATTTCTTGGACTTGCTCTTTATTAGTACTCTGTATTCTTAGGCTTTTATCAGTTCCTAAGATTTTATTCAAAGTTATTTTATTTATTGTCCCTGCACTAGTGACATATCTGATTTGCCCCTGCATTGAAGACTGGGTAGTAGGTATTCCTCTAGCTCTAGAATCTCTTAGCAACGGAGGAGATGATCTCTTGATACAGAAGCTGGGGCGAGAGGAAAATTAATTACTTGATAGCTTCACAACAACTAACACATATCAGCACACTTCATGATCTAGAACAGATCTCTTGAAGCTCCGATCAAGTCCGGCAGCCTGTTTCTCAAGGAGTAAACTCCTCTAGCTAATGGAAGTTATTTCATTGATAACATTTGCTGTTGGGCAAATGCTGAGTTGTGTGAACAATGGAGCCGTGGTCATTTATATGAGCAAATGGAGGCTCGTGGCTAAGGATGTGGACAAGAGGCTTTGAAAGCATTGCTGCTGTTTGAAAATGATCATATTGTTGTCTTACTTGGGTCCTCCCCCCCTTTTTTTTTCAACATAGATAACTTCTTCTGGCCTGAACATATGTAACTATATAATGCTCACCTGAAGAGGTTTTGCCTTGGATTTAGTGAGAAGGAAGCTTGAGCAGTAGATGGTTTTTTTCCCTCTGGTGTATGGGAACTGTCATTTGTGCCTTGCTATCCTCTCTAGACTCCAAAGGGGTTTTTTTTTTCTTTGCAAAGGAAAGCTGGAGGAAGCAGAACTGATCTTGTTTGCATGAAACTGTCCCAGTCAATCTTGATATTTGAAACTGTTTAGTTTCTCATCCCTCTCAGAGCAGTTTCAGATATCCTGCCAACTTGATCCCACATTGCCCGTGGGCTTTGTTTTATGATAAGAGTACTAGCTGATAGGGAATAGCAGAGAGGATAGTCAGCAGATTGACATCATTTAAGTAATTTACTTCTCATATATTACCTGGTACTGGGCTACGGGAAAAAAATACTGGGCCTCAGCGTGGCTGCCGGGAGGGAGCAGGCCAGGCTGGGAGGAGGTGTTTGTGTAGAGAAAACCGGCTGCTGGGAAGCAGGGTTGGGGGCAGCAGGGCTGTCGGGCGGAGATCGGGGGGGGGGAAGGGTGCAGGCAGGCGGCAGAAGCAGTTTGGGGCAGTGGGGCTATCCGGCGGAGATCGGGGGGGATGGGCAGGCAGCGGAAGCAGGGCTGGCTGGGAGGGGACACAATCAGACCCGGGCACACGAGTGAGTCTGGCCCTGGGGATTCCATTTTGTGCGCGCGCCCCTCCCCCATACCCTTCCTTGAGTAGTTGCAAACTGCCTGGCTGGTAGACACATACACAGCGTGCGCACATTTACCAGCCAGGCAGTTCGCAGCTACGGAGTGATACACCTAATAATAATAAAACTTACCTAATTAGAAACAATCAGACCCGGGCACACGAGTGAGTCTGGCCCTGGGGATTCCATTTTGTGCGCGCGCCCCTCCCCCATACCCTTCCTTGAGTAGTTGCAAACTGCCTGGCTGGTAGACACATACACAGCGTGCGCACATTTACCAGCCAGGCAGTTCGCAGCTACGGAGTGATACACCTAATAATAATAAAACTTACCTAATTAGAAAATACTTGACATCTTCTATGTCCGGTATTTTCTCAATTGTTTCCTGGACAGAACGCTCAAATACCGGATTGGTACAAAACTGGACACCTGGCAACCATGCCCCTCCTTGCCCCCTCCCTTCTCGCCAGATGCCCTACCCCTAATCTGCTCCTGCTCCCGCCTCCTGGAGTGCCCATGTGTCTCTGGGTCCCCCAAGCCTTGGCCCAAGCTGGGCAGAGGATGCAGCCGGGTGAAACACTGAAAATTAATTCATTTTTCATTCTTTTTTTTATATGCATTTATAATTTTGGGCTGCAAAAATCGCTACTGAAAAAAATGGGTTCCAACTAAAGTAAAAAGTTTGGGAAACCTTAGTCTAGCCAGCTTTCTATCCATCTTACAGTCCATTTATCCAATCCATATTCCCTTAACTTGCTGGCAAGAATATTGTGGGTGACCGTATCAAAAGCTTTGCTAAAGCTGGCACTGGGGGCATAGGGAGGAGAAGAAACAACATATTTGAATGTTCATCTTTTGCTTAAAAAATATGCAAATGAATGTTACTGGTCTTCCAAAAGCTCATGAATAGATTTACTGGTCCCCATGTCAAAAAGTTTGTGAACCCCTGCCTTAGGCGACTGCATATTGTGTTTTCCAAAGGGTATAAGGCTTGTGCATGTTTTATTCCCTTGGTCCTGGAATTACTAAGGAAAGAGAAGGGCTGGCCTTGAGCACTCATAACAAATAGGATTTGGTGTTGAAGATCTGTTGGAGGCGCTTATCATTAGTGACTGAGTTTTTCAGAGTAGTTAAGGAATTTGACAACCAGCACTAGGAAATTAAGTTTTATTTGCAGGCTCAGCTTCATGCTGTGGGAACTCTGCTTCCTTCTTTTTGAGCCTGTAACTCGTTTTCTTATTTTGGGTGATCATATGGATTGGAGATGCTGAGGCTGTAATAGTGGTCATGAGTACCTACCGTACAGATTCCTGTAGTCCATCCTTGCGGACAGTGCGCTTTTTTTTGTTTAAAAAAAAAAAAAAAAAAAAAGTAGTGCCGGTACTCCAGGGGACAAGTTGTTGAGCTCTGACTGGAGGTGCCCATACTGTGTCTGGAGGTGCCGGTACTGAGTACCGGGCAGTACCGTCACAAAAAAAGCACTGCTTGCGGACAACCTTTTAACCTGGATCTTACCCCAGAATTCATTAACTGGAGTCTGTGCTCAGAACATAAAAATTGTCCCACATGGCTCGTGATGCCAAAATCTTGGCAAACAAATTGATCCATCTGCTTGAGTGGGAGGAATAAGGATATATATTTTAGTTTAGAGACTAGAGAAGGGGAGAAACACAGTTTTTAGTTAAATTCAGTGCCCATATTTCATTCTGCTAGACAGTTTATTTTTTGGATTGGTAGTTGGCAGATAACTATTCCTTTATGGATGAAACTTAAAAAATGATTTTGAAAGTGACTAAATACTGTGCATGTATAATTAACTAGGTACATCCTCATGTATACAGCAAACTTTAAAAACTGTATGAATTGCTATTTCTGCAAGATTTGATGAGAAGAGAAAGTTTAAAAATTGCTCACCAAGAAAATAATTTATATAATTCCTACTTTTGGAAATACTTGTTAATGCCCAGCTGGATGCATTTCATAAAGATTCAAAGAATAGTTTTCTTATAGTTGTGAATATGCAAATAAAATAAAATAAAAGAACACACTACTAGGGAAATGATTTTATATGCGTTATAGACAAGTAAAATAATTTATATACATGTCAATACTCTTTTTCGTATGTAGGTCCATTGCAAAAGAGCTTGCAGACTGGCTTATCAGCAACAATGTGGTTGAGCATATTTTTGGACCAAATTTACATATTGAGGTTTGTGTACAATAATCTGATTTTTGCTGTACTTATGGAGGAGTAATTCTTTGTTCTGTTAAATCTGTCCTAAATATGTTCTTTCTTTGCAGATCATCAAACAGTGCCAAGTGATTCTCAATTTTCTTGCAGCTGAAGGGCGACTTAGTACTCAGCATATAGACTGCATTTGGGCAGCAGCACAGGTATATCAAATATTTATATTTGTAGGAATTAAATAAAATAGCCAGTTGAATTCATTTGTTCTTAGGGTTATAAAACAAAGTTTCTTATTCTTTTCTGTCTTCCATATACCATATTAGGTACAGAATTTGCCATGCAGTCATCTTAGCAAATTGATTAAGTCATTAAGATCATAGAATCATAGAACTGGAAGAGACCTCAGAAGGTCATCAAGTCCAGCCCCCTGCTCTAGGCAGGACCAATTCCAACTAAATCAACCCGGCCAGGGCTTTGTCAAGCTGAGACTTAGGGTACGTCTAGACTACATGCCTCTGGCGACAGAAGCATGTAGATTAGGCTACCGGACATAGTAAAATGAAGTGGCGATTTAAATAATTGCCGCTTCATTTAAATTTACATGGCTGCCGCGCTGAGCCGACAAACAGCTGATCAGCTGTGTGTCGGCTCAGCGCGATAGTCTGGACGCTCCCCTGCCGACATCAAAGGTATTTGTTGACCACCCACGTATGCCAGTGCTTCACCACCCATTCCAGTGCTTCACCACCCTCCTAGTGAAATAGTTTTTCCTAATATCCAACCTGGACCTCTCCCACCACAACTTGAGACCATTGCTCCTTGTTCTGCCATCTGTCACTACTGAAAACAGCCTCTCTCCATCCACTTTGGAACCTCCCTTCAGGAAGTTGAAGGCTGCTATCAAATCCCCCTCACTCTTCGCTTCTGCAGACTCAACAGACCCAACTCGCTCAGCCTCTCCTCATAAGTCATATGCTCCAGCCCCCTAATCATTTTGGTTGCCCTCCGCTGGACCCTCTCCAATGCGTCCACATCCTTTTCGTAGTGGGGGGCCCAGAACTGGACATAATACTCGAGATGTGGTCTCACCAAAGCCGAATAAAGGGGAATAATGACATCTCTGGATCTGCTGGCAATGCTCCTCTTAATGCAACCTAATATGCCATTAGCCTTCTTGGCTACAAGGGCACACTGTTGACTCATATCCAGCTTCTCATCCACTGTAACCTCCAGGTCCTTTTCTGCAGAACTACTACTTAACTGGTTGGTCCCCAGCTTGTAACTATGCTTGGGATTCTATTTTATCCTTTATAGGCAGTCCTCATACTTAGGACACAATGCAGTTTTAAAGAACCTATTGTAAGTTGGAGTACTGCATCTACAGTAGCAAATTTTGCATGTGTGATTTGCGATAGGCACCAGTGATAGAAATGATGGAAACTGTAGAGTGAGGCTCATGCATTTTTAATACCGTGCTGTCTAGTGAAACTGTCTGGGTCCTTTGTACACAATAGCTAACCATTGTTCTACTTTGGGAAACTGTTGCTGTGATATTTACTACAGGATGAACCTCTCTAGTCTGGCACATTCTAGTCTGTCAAGATATGTGGTCCATCATGATTTTAGTTAGCTGGATGTTCACTTGCGATGGGTGTGGCCAAGTTTCCTGCAGCTCCATAAAGTTTGTTTACAGCTACTAGTCCTGGCTCTCAGTGTTCTGTGCTATTATTTAGCTGTAAGCAGAGGTATTGGTAATGCTGCTAGACAATATTGACCTCCTGTGCTTCAGCAAATTCTCTTGTTTGGCACTGGTCAGGTCCTGAAGTGCCATACTAGAGAGGTTCAATCTGTACTGTAAAAGCAACTTTAAAATTTAAAGTATTTAAAGTATAGCATCAGTGCCTAAAATAGACGATGTGGTATTGAATTTTTCCTTTGCTATATTGAGAACAAATTATTAAGGGTTTTTTTTTTCAGAAAAATAGACCATATTTGCTGGCTTGTTTGAATTATGATGTTTTCAGTAAGTCAGTAATTTTTTTCAGTCTTTTTTTTGTTTGAGATTTGAGTAATACACACATTTGTGCATTCTGATATGAACACACACAAAAGGTGCAAGGGAAAAACAACCTGCAATGTAGTCTGGAGATATGAGTAAAGATTAAGATATATTTGATCACAAGCAAAAACAAAAAACAAACAAACAACAAAAAAACCAACCAACCAAACATAAAGAAAGACTTGGGAATGCTTTTAAATTTATTAAAATGTTGATCTATAATTACATTACATTATCTTTTGTTGAGGACACATGGTATTTTAACTATTCTTTCAGTTACAGTCATGTACTTGTTAGAAATGCCATATAATAAAATATGCAAACTAATTTGTTTTGTACTGATGAGAAAAATGTCAATCTTATCAAGTGTGTCTAAATATATTGAAACTATATCTCTCAAGGGAAAACTGGGACCTTTTCTTATTTTACTTTCGTTTATTTGAAGTCTGTAATAATTTTTTAAATATATATCTATATATCTTAAGTTGCTAAGATTTTTTTTTAGAAAAGTAAAATCTTATAAAAACGGCATTAAAGAATTTGAGAGCTAAGACATCTCTCAACCGTCCTTCCTCAGCTTCTAAACAGTGAAACAAATCTCTTTTTTCTTAAATTTGAGTGTCCTGAATTTAATTTTCCGTGGATAAAATTCACCCTTGTTTAGATAATTTGCGCCATTTAATTCCCAATTGACTCCTCTGCAGACCAGTTACTATCTCCTCCCCTTTTTTTCTCTTTCAGGCTGATGGCAAAAGGAAAATCAGTTTTTTAAAATACGTGTTTTTACGTACATACTTACTAAACCTAAATCCAGAGCTTATTATGCCATTATGTATTTTATTTGAGTGCTTGAACCATACAAAAATACATTAAACCTTCAGAGCAGAAGTGAAAGTTGGGAGCTTCTTCATGTAACACTTGATTCAACTTTCAATCATTTTGCCTTGCACCAGAAAGTAACAGTGCTCAATAAGATGTTCTATCGAAAAAGTTATTCACTATTACTTCTGTAGTTTTTGATCTTATACATTTTTGTGGAAGATGTATAATAATAATTTAAACATTTTTGATAAATTCTGTATCGTAGCTAATATTGTATTTTGTAGTGCCTTTATTTTTCATTCACCACTGTTAATATCACTTATAAATACTCTTTTGTCCCTCAGAAATGTATATAAATCATTTTAACTGCAATTAGTTAAATAAAAAATTGAGAATAAGTTCTAAACCGTTTTCTTCGATCTCCCCAAAACTTTTATAAGAATAAAACTAAGCACAACTTGAGTGATTGTATGTGTCCTCCTACCATACTTCATGTGTTTGGAAATCAGAAATTCGGGTAAATAAAAACTGAAGGTATAATACTGCTTAGTGAAAGTATTTTTTTGAGTGAAAAAGCTTTTTAATTAAGATAATTTTATGAACGTTTGAATAACTCTTATAAATTATTTCCCCTCTCGTGTCTTTTTTTGTTGTGTTTTGTAGCTAAAACATTGTAGTCGCTATATACATGATCTGTTTCCTTCATTGATCAAGAACTTGGATCCTGTCCCACTTAGACATCTTCTTAATTTAGTCTCAACTCTTCATCCAAGTGCTCATACTGAACAGGTAAAAACACCCTTCCCCTCAGATACAACAGTATACAGGCAGTCCCCGGGTTACGTACAAGATAGGGACTGTAGGTTTCTTCTTAAGTTGAATTTGTATGTAAGTCAGAACTGGTACATATTGTAGGGGAAACTCTAGCCAAACATTTCTCCAGAGCTCAGTTTTATTCTCCCACACCTCACTTCCCTCAGTCCTTTATTCTCAAGCTGAGGTGTCTGCTGAGAAAAGCTGCTCCGCGTCTCCCTGGTCTGCTTGGGGGGGCCGGAGGGGAGGGGGCGCTAGCTTTGCGTCTCCCTGGTCTGCTGGGGGGAAGCAGCTAGTGCGGGGTTGCCTCACCCCGTTTGTAAGTAGGAATCTGATGTAAGTCGGATCCATGTAACCCGGGGACTGCCTGTATGTTATAACTTTATGCAGTGTTATTTGTGAAAAGAAAAAAGAACTTAAACAGTCTCTTTGGCAATGTAAAGTCTGTTTCTCTTCAGAATTCTTATAATCTAGGAATACAAAATAAAGTACTGAATAAGAAAATATGTAATTTAAGTTTTGCTCAATCTTAAATTAGCTGTTCTGGTTTCTAAATGTTGTTATTTACATGTTTTAGAAAAATATATATTTAGAAGTTGGTAAGGTTCCTTATGTTTAATTTCTCCATTTTGTATAGCATAGCATTCATTTGTTTTACTGAGTTAGTTACTTTCACGTTCCATAATATTGGAGTGTAGAAGAAGCAACAAAAGTATCTTTTGCATTGAAAATCAATTGCGTTTTTTAATCGTACTATAATTGGTTTTATTCATAGACCTTATATTTGGCATCAATGCTTATAAAAGCACTATGGAATAATGCACTAGCAGCTAAGGCCCAGCTATCAAAACAGAGTTCATTTGCATCTTTACTCAGTACTAATCTACCCATGGGAAATAAGAAAGGTGGGTATATATTTTGCTGTGTAATGTGTATATATTGTTCCAATGTAGATATTACAATTTAATCTATGATTTTTATCAATCAGTGGTCACTGGTAACTTTGCACTATAAGCTCATATAAGATTTTTAGTAGACACAATATGAAAGTAAATTTTAAAAATGTGACTTGTTGTATCATTGAGGCATACTTTTCCAGTTAAGGATAAAAAGGAGATTACAAAGATCGTATTCCTGTCCCCACCCTTATCCTGTAAAGAGACATTGAAGTTTCATAAAAATCTTTGAAAACTCTTCTGCTCGGAAAGAATTCTGCTTATACATCCTCCATTTTATATATTTCGTTATTTCAAAGTTTTCCATGAGACACCAGCTGACAGTGCTTATTGTGTTGAATGTTTACAGCTGTAGTGCATTCTTTTGTTTTCTAAATCTTTACCCAATTTTTCTCCTCATTTTCATACCTTGATATTACATACTGGCTTCTTTGTGTAGGTTCTCAGAGCCAGCCACTTTGGAAGGTGGAGAGTACCTATTTTATTGTAGGGTTTTTTTTCCTTTGCCACTGTTCATTATATAATATGAGCAACTGATAAGCTGATGCAAAGAAGCTCAGTCACTTAGAATGTTTCCCTCCTGTTTTTTCCTTTCCCTTCAGAGGAAGAAGAGCTCAGAAGAGCAGCCCCATCGCCTTGTAAGTTGAGTACTAGAAATATGCTGCAACATCAGTTATAATTTTTTGATAGCATGAATGGCCACTAGAACAATAGGCTTTGTATAGCAGAAATGATTTTGTGAAATTTTTGAAGTATATTTTACTGAGAAGTCAGCAGAAAAGACCTTTTTGTATAGACGCTGACATATTGATACCTGTCACATTATAAAAGTATCATTGAAATTCATGATTTGCAGCAGTGTGCTGACTACCTTTCAAAAATACTGTATTTAAATGAATCCATCTTACATTTGGAGTTACATCGCATTTTGAGTTGTTGGCAGGAATTGTGTTGAGATTATAGAAAGAAGGTAGATACGTGTAATAATGTTAATATACAGATTAGTGAAAATAACATTGTAACTGGGAGCATGCTTTTAAAATAGGGTCACCTGCAGCTAGTCCTCAAAGTAGTGATAACAGTGACACCCATCAGAGTGGAGGCAGTGACATTGAAATGGAGGAGCAGCTAATTAACAGAAACAAACATGTGCAGCAACGACTTTCAGATACAGAGGTACACTACAAATCTGTATTTAATTATTGATTTGCTATTAATTATGTGTGATTTTTCTGAGACTTTCAGAGTAATTTGAAGAGAAACACAACTCATGGTATGTGTGCATGTATTTTTCTTTTATTCATTTTTGTTAGGGAAGGACAGGAAACCCTATTTGAGTTCCTACCTTTCATAGACACCAAGAGAAAGGTCCAAGCTAGCCCTAAATAAACAGTCACAATACGAAATAAGAGTACTACATCATAAAATATTTTGAAGCGAAACTTTACATCAGTGTATTTTCTTCATCTCTTATTTAGCAAATGACTGCATGAACTTGGGAATACACTTTGATGCCCCACTACAGGTGGCCTCCGACTTGCAACGCGATTGGTTCCCCGGGGAAGCGTTGCAAGTCGGGGGTGTCATAATTCAAACCCTCATTTACAATAGGTGCTGCGCACCGTAGTAAATGCGGGCTGAGGACGTAAGTCAGGGGATTTCAGACGCTTCCGCTCTTACAAAAATCGTTATTAGTGCGGGGGGTCGGAACTTGTGTGGTCCCATGTGGGGGCGTTTCCTGTATATGTGTGTGTAAAGTGTGCGACTTATAATTCGATTTTTTTGTAAGTGTTCTCTGTACCTAAATCTTGGTCAAAACAAACCTTGTAGCACTGTCTCATAGTGAAAAAACTCCCGATGAAAAATGGATGGAAAACAGTAGAGTTGATGTATATCCTTACAATTAAAGAATTTTTGAATATAGATAATACATATTAATGTTGATTATATTTTCTATTATTTATTTTTGATTTAATCAATTTTTTAAACATTATAGGAGTCCATGCAAGGAAGTTCTGATGAGACAGCAAACAGTGGTGAGGATGGGAGCAGTGGTCCTGGTAGCAGCAGTGGCCACAGTGATGGATCCAGTAATGAGGCCAACTCCAGTCACGCAAGCCAGTCTGCAGGAAGTCCAGGGAGTGAGGTGCAATCAGAAGATATTGCAGATATTGAAGCTCTCAAGGAAGAAGATGAGGAAGAGGAGGAAGACAGGGGTCATAATCCCCAGAAAAACAGTCGGACCACAGAGCTACTAAGCAGGAAGATAGAATCTCAAGCAGGCATTTGTTTAGGAGATTCACAAGGGACAGCAGATAGGAATGGTGCAAGCAATGGGCCTGGAAAGGACCATGTTTTTAATACTGAGTCTGGGCCTCCTGTGGATAGTCGAATTAGGATGCTAGATACTTGTTCACACACTGACGATGCAGAACATGATATGACAGGGGAAATGAATGCTGCTCATGTATCTCAAGGGTCTCAGGATTCTTGTATAACACACACGGGGGACTTTCTTGGGGAAACCATTGGAAATGAACTGTTTAACTGTCGGCAGTTTATAGGGCCACAGCATCACCACCATCACCACCACCACCACCATCACCATCATGATGGGTATGTTGCTTATGCTGCTTTTCGACTTACAAAATAGCAATAAAAGTGATAGCGAAATGTACAATGCAGACATGGTTTTTGTAGCAGCAGCATATTGCCGGGTCATTCAAATAATTAATTTTTAAAAACCCTAATGAATAGTTGCACAACAATTATTATCTAAAGTTATTTTGCGATGAAGAGATGAGATGTAAGAAAATACTAAGTTTATTAGCAAGAAGATTGACACTGCAGTGTCAATTGTCTGGCTTTTGATTTGGTGGGTCTAGTAAAGACTGCTGAATCAAATTTGGAGGACGCCCCCCCTTGATGCCAGTACTCCTTTGCAAGGAGTAAGGGAAGTAGATGGGAGCATTTGCTCCCACCGACCTCTCACTGCGAAGCCGGTGTGAAAGATTGAATTAAAGTACATCAACACCAGCTATGCAATTAACATAGCTGGAGTTGCATAACTTAATTTGGACTTCAAGGTAAGTATAGACCTGTCCTAAGATTCTTCTTTTTGCGAATACGTATTAGTCGGCTAGTAGCAACAACACGGTGACTTCGTCTTTTGTTAATGAAGTGAAAGATTTGTTTTTTAGTTGTCAATCTTATTACTATAGAAATTAGGAAGACCTGTTCCCAGCAATGTTCCCTTTAATTTTACCCATCCGTGTGCAGAAGAAATGTTATGTGCAGATATGCACCACCAATAGAAACATATGCTGCTGGCTGTGGGCAACTGTGGGTGCTCTACTAATCAATTCAGATTAGCAGAGATCACCTGAATCTCTTCTGGCAGGCCACCCACGAGTTCAATTTATAGGGAACACGTGGCTGCCAAGTGGTTTATATCTGTGTTTATCAGTGTACACACACAAGTCTCTCTTCATTTGGATACATTTAACAAACTTTTGTGTTGTGTACAAATATTTGTTGTTTTATCTGCTGTGACAAATCATAATTTCTGAAATTCAATGGTAATTGGGATTTTTAAAACTAGCTTTATTGTACAAAACCTGTTTATAAAATTAATCATTTTAATGCTTGCCTATATTTTACAGACACATGGTTGATGATATGCTAAGTGCAGATGATGTCAGTTGTAGTAGTTCGCAAGTCAGTGCAAAATCCGAGAAAAACATGGCTGATTTTGACGGTGAAGAGTCTGGTTGTGAAGAAGAACTTGTGCAGATTAATTCACATGCTGAGCTAACATCTCATCTTCAACAGCACCTTCCTAACCTTGCTTCTATCTATCATGAACACCTTAGTCAAGGTAAGGGTTAATAATGGCAAGGGAGGAAAAAGACTTTTTCTGTACTTCTAACTTCAATTTTATGTCTCAAAAATAAACTCTCAATTTCAGATAATTTTAAGAAGCAAAGAAAATGAACAAAGAAACAAAAAATACCAACCATCCAAACAATCCCCTCCTGCATCAATGTTCCCTCTATTTTTTCCATCTATGTACCGAATAACTTATGTGCACCGAGGCACATGTGGCTGTGCAACACCAATAAAAATGTGTTGCTGGCTGTGGGCATTCTGCTAATCAGCTGGGCAGCACCTAAATCTCTCCTGGATGGTCGCCCAAGCGCTCTGCTTACAGGTGACACTGCCCCCTAGTAATAGGTGGGCATGCAAAGAATGTACTAACTATTAATAATAAAGAAGATGCTCTATTGCTCCAACGATTTATTTGCAAACGACTATATAAATATGTTTCTATATTTGTTTTTTATTTCTCTTATCAGATTTTTGTAGCCAAAATAAAATAGAAATGAGTAGACAGTTGAACATGACAATTGCTTTCTGTAATCAGATTTATTAACACAGAAAGAAAGGTGATATTGCATTGGATAATTTTTCTCTCTAAACTTATTTTAAAGATCTTGGCAATAGAAACTTATAAGATACAAATTACCTTTGGCAGTTTGCCATGGGACACTCGCTAATCTGAACATTGCAGACATGAATAGTACAGGATGCAGAGCAAGTTTTTATATTAATACTATATTCTTTTGGTCAAGTCTTAGGATAAACAGAGCTTTTAATACAAAGTGTTTTAAAATCCTTTTATTTTCTTGAGCGCACTGTATTAATTCTTAGAAATTTAGCCATGAGTGCCAGTGGCTTGCTGCTAAATTAAGAGAGAGAAATGATTACGTCGAAATAGGTTAAAAATAACAAATATATGCTATACCTACTACGACTATAGAAAGCTCTTATTTTGTAGAATTAATTATTTATGCTGGGGTTTTTGATCTCTCAGCTGCTTTTGCTACCTTTTGGACTCAAGACTTAACTGTGGACACTAGTAGTGGTACATGCACTTGCTTCTGTGTGTTTGTTTTTTTTCAAAGCTGTCCTAAGGAATAGGGATAGGAAGTTGCTCATTTGCCCCCAGAATGCTTATATTATTCCGCCTTTCATAGAATCATAGGACTGGCAGGGACCTCAAAAGGCACTCCTAGCAGCACTAAAACCTGGTTTTTAAACTGGCTCCCCTGGCAGACCAGCTCCCAGCTGCCACCCCGTGCTGCTGCCTCTGATCCAGAGGCACCAGCGTGGAGTGTCAGGAGGCTCCCTGAGAGTGGGGCTAGGAGCATATTGGCTGCTGGCTCCGTCCCCTGGAACTATCAAATGGTTGTGTAACCGCTAAGATTTCATGCAGTTACACAACTATTTAACTACACGATATCTAACATCCCTACTAGTTTGCTATAGTGGCTCATTGATAATACTTAGCGCTTAAATAGTGCTTTACGTTTTTTTTCAAAACATGGCAGGTAAGTAAGGATGGTAGGTAAGTAAGGATTATTATTTCCATTTTATAGATGAGGAAACCAAGACACAGAGCTTAAGTAAATTGTCACCTGTTAGTCCACTAGATTATCACTAAATTTTGCTAAAATAATATGGAAGGGTGTAAAACAACAATTATTTCTTAGATTAGAAGTGATACTTTGTTAAATTGCATCAGACTTGAATATAAAATATTTACTGTACTTGAAATATACAGTAGATCACTTTCAGCCTTCTGCTTGAGATATTATCCAGTTGTTTTTCCTAATGAAGACCCAAATTATGGATTTGAACAGAAACATAGCGTAATCTCTTCTGGTACCTTTAATTTTTCATATGCAAATAATTACAGCATGTTATACATATAGATGTGTGCAGACACAATGGATATATTTTAAAATCTTGACTTGCCTACACACAGACACACGTGGCTTGACAAGCAGCGGCGAGCCCTGCTCGCCAGCCATGCAGTTTGGCATGCTGCGCATGCTCTGACCGCACTATGCAGCCACACCGGACTAAAATCTACTCACCCTGGGCGAGTAGATTGCCTTAATTGTCGAGCTCTGTGTGTGTGTGTGTGTGTGTGTGTGTGTGTGTGTGTGTGTGTGTACAGGGCTTGCCGAGATGTGGCGAATGGGGATTGGATGGGGCCACGCCACCCGTAGTGCGGGCTTCGGCCAGTCTGTTACAATGGCCCACCGGGCCAGTCCGCCCCTGCACTCGCCAGCTGGCAAAATCTACTCGCCACGGGCAAGCAGGCGAGTGTGTTTGTCGAGCCCTGTATACACACACACACACACACACACACACACACCCATTACCTACTTTCTCTCTCTATATTTCTTAAACATCTAAATGATATCAGTTGTGTGCACACAATTTCAGAAGCAAAAGTGCACCTACCAGTATTTGTGTTTTTTGATTTCAGATGCAAACCTGTCTTCCATATATATATATATATATATAAAACAATCTGACAAAATAATAAATACAGAGTTTTGAAATAATTTTATTGAAGCTATTAATAGGCATAAGGTGAAGCTCAATAGTCAGCTCAGTTGTTTCTTTGTGCATATTCAATCATAACATCTGTGTTTTGCATAGGGCCAGCAGTTCATAAACACCAGTACAACAGCAATGCAGTGACTGATATTTATATATATATAAAACAATCTGACAAAATAATAAATACAGAGTTTTGAAATAATTTTATTGAAGCTATTAATAGGCATAAGGTGAAGCTCAATAGTCAGCTCAGTTGTTTCTTTGTGCATATTCAATCATAACATCTGTGTTTTGCATAGGGCCAGCAGTTCATAAACACCAGTACAACAGCAATGCAGTGACTGATATTAACTTGGATAATGTTTGTAAGAAGGGAAATACTCTTTTGTGGGATCTGGTCCAGGATGAAGATGCGGTAAGTTAAATATCAGAAAAGTGTATCTGTCAAAAGAAAATAAATACATACCTATCAGTATCTTCTCTTACTTTTTGTAGATTCATCTATCTGAGGGGTTAATAAATGAGGCAGAGAAGCTGCTCTGTTCCTTAGTGTGCTGGTTTACTGATAGGCAGATCCGAATGAGATTCATCGAAGGCTGCTTGGAAAACTTAGCAAATAACAGGTAACTGAATATTTGATTTTAATTGTGCTATCACAGATTATTGCATTTGTCTATTTCTATATTCATGCATCATAATAGCCATTTTTTCCTTTGGGCATATGCCTTCTATTGGTCATCCTGAATATATATTAGTTTCTTAATCTTGCTCAAAGGAATGTTAAAGCTGTTATGGGTAAAACATGAAGGTAAAGGGGGGAAAATATCAAGCTGAAGAGTGATGCTTTGAACTGGGACATGCTAAAGTTTCTGGGCTTCGATCCTCTCTCTCCAAACCCTGTTCATGGGACTGTTATATACAAAGGTAGATTCATCCAAAAATGCCCAAAGTAAATTTGTCAATGAAGAGCATGCATCCCTAACTATAACTTTTAAGTACTGTCAACAATTTTAATTTAGAAAAATAATATTCCAGTTATTTCTTTTTTCCTCTCTTTAGATCAGTAGTAGTTTCACTTCGCCTTCTTCCAAAGTTATTTGGTACTTTTCAGCAGTTTGGGAGCAGTTATGATACACACTGGATAACAATGTAAGTAAATGTACCTTCTCTCATCTTCCCTTCTCTTCTTTTCCCCCATACAAAGAAAGAAAGAGAGAGAGAGAAAGAAAGAAGATTAATGATTGCTAAAGGACAGTTGATAAGATAGACATTTACACGTAGATCACATGTTCAAATTTGGTCCAGGTCTCAAAGTCATTAGAGAGAGAGAGAGAGAGAGAGTGTGTATGAGTCACAAGCACCAGCTCCTGTTTCTTCCCTCTCCCCACTGCAGTGCTGCTTGTGTATCAGATACAGAGGTAGCAGCATGGGGGGTGGGATGGATGGATCGTGCAACCGTGAGGGATAACCAATGAGCCCAGGTAAGTTGGTTAGCTCTGTATTCGGGTACACATTCACATCCCTAGTGGTGGCCTATATGAATTGTGTTAAAGGTCTTTAAGTTCCTGATGCACAGATTTCTTCATAAGACACATTTTATCATAACTAAGGCTAATCTTTGGGTGGATATGCACCTTTAGATCTCCATAAATGGAACTCACTACTAAATGCTGGAAGTGCATGAAAGGGGACAATGTGGGTAAGCCTATATTGCCAGAGACTCTGCTGTCCTTCTGATTGTAAATTCAGTCATTTGAGCAATTAAAAATTCACTAAAAATGTTAATACTTTTAAAAGGAGAGGCTGTATAGTAATATATTCCCTTAGGGGAAAATCAGATTCAGGTTTTGGTCCCTGGGCTGGCAAAATTTTTGAGTGCTGTAGAGGAAACTCACCTGGATTTCTTGGAAAGATAGCACTTTAAATCACTCATTAGCTACTCCTATGGCCATTTAATCAATTTTTCAGCATGGTAGTTAAATGCATACCTAACTTTTAAGCATGAGAGTAATTTCACTGAAGATCTTAAAATTGGTTTATAAATATTTGACTAAAATGTAGTTGTAGTGAATGGAATGACTACTGACATTCTTAAAGTTAGGCACATATTCAAGTACTTTGCTGAAACAAAGAGTGCTGATTGGCTCTGAAGAAAGTTTAATCTGTTAATCCCTAGCGAGAAAATGATGGCCACACTGTGGCGCCTTAAGGAGGACAAGACAGAGCAAAGAAACATGTGGAGATTTCTCAAGATTCTATAAGTGTTGGGGTATACCTTCTGGCACACGGAAAGTAGATTGTTAGCTTTGTTAATTTTCCCATGTGTGATTCACTTAGGGAATATGTTTTTTTTCTCTTTCAATTGGCACAGGTGGGCAGAAAAAGAACTTAACATGATGAAACTTTTCTTTGATAATTTGATACACTACATTCAAGCAGTAAGAGAAGGACGACATAAACATGCATTGTAAGTATGGTGAATGCATCTAGCTTTTGTTAAATATCTGCTTTTAATTGTAAAAACATCTTAATCCTTCTCATCCTTTCTAAGGCCATGTCTACACTATAGATAAGATCGAAGTAGCTGCAGTTGATTTTTGGGGTTTGAATTAGCAGGTCTAGTGAAGACACACTAATTCAAACTGAGAAGGGCTCTCCCATCGATTCTGGTAGTCCTGCTCCCTTTGACTTCCTGCAATGTGGACAGTGCCAAAGTTCAACTTAAGATACTTCAACTTAAGCTACGCAATTAACGTAGCTGAAGTTGCGTCTCTTAATTCAAACTTTATCCCTAATGTAGACTAGGGGTAAGAGTGATCCTTATTAATTATTATTGTTTTGAATATTTTCACTTATTGATACAAAGTAAATGTTTCTTTATAAAATTTTATTGAAGGCATCAGAATTAGATTATTTAAAAAATTTTAAGGTGTTTCTACCAGATTTCCTTCTGTTGTAAAATCTCATTAGCATAGTAGAATTAGCTTAAAGTGCTAAAACTTTGATACCCATTTTCTCACCTGGGTTCCTAACATTAGGTACATAAGTCTGTTTTTAAACCTAGTTAAGTGTCCTGATTTGTAGCAGTTCTGAGTACGTGCAATTCACATGATCTGTATCTATGAAAATCAGGTCACCTTTATTTATGTATCTATATATTGGTGTAGGTGTCTAATTTTAGACATCCACATTTGAAAGTTTTAGCTTTCCATTAAGGTCTAACTTTCAACGCAATGAAAACTTTCAACTACACATTCAAATCAGGTAGTTGGAGATCTGTGTGATGAGTTACTATTTTAAAGGCTGGTTTCAAGCTGACTGAAAATTTAGCCTTTTATGTAAAATAGTTCATTGTGATATATTCTCTATTTTACATTAATTGAATATGCATCTAATAATGAAGAATACAGTTACAATTTGCAGCACATTCAAAAATTGTTGTAAGAAAAGTACTTCATTTTTATGCAGTGATTGGACATTCAGACATTTCTAAGCATTTTCCAAGTGTATGAGAAACTTTGTGAAGGCCCCATTCTGCATGGTGCTGAGCGTACACAGGTCTTATTAAAGATGCACAAAGTACACACAGAACTCATCTGTTGCCTCCCCACAACCCCATTTTTTTCTACTGACTTTGTACTGTGCTACAGTCTGTATAGCTACATCTACACTGCAGCGTTATTTTGGGATACTGTAGTTGGGATACTGAGCACGCCTGTTATTTCGAAATATAACGGGCTTGTTATTCTGATGTCTCTGAAAACTTCATTCCACAAGGAGTAAGGGATATTTTGAAATAGCAATTTATTTCGAAATAAGTGCTGTGTAGACTGTGACAAATTTCAAAATAAGCTATTTCAAAATTAACTTGAAATGAGCTATGCAATTTGCGTAGTTCAAATTGCATAGCTTATTTTGAGCTACTGGTACAGTGTTAGACGCTCACTATGAGTGGGATTTACATTATTTCTTGAACTGACTTTGAAGTTTTGAAAGTGGATTTAAAAATATAATAAGAAATTATGTTTTTATGTGCTCAAATTTAAACATTTGCAAATGAATTAAAAATATCTGTTTTGTGTTTAAAAAAAAATGTCAAATGTAGGTACAGCCACAGTGCAGAAGTTCAAGTGCGTCTTCAGTTCTTGACATGTGTTTTTTCAACTCTTGGATCACCAGATCATTTCAGTAAGTATTTTATATGACCTGATAATTAATATACATCTCTTGAATTTTACAGTTAAATATATTTACCTTTTAATAATTTGATTATTTTTTGAATTATTAGTATTATTTTGTTTTAAAAATGTACATCATCAACGTTAATTTAAAATGCTGTACTATAAGAGGAGGATAGTCTTGTAGCTAAAGCACAGAACTGGATATCAGAACTTTTGGGTTCGATTCCCAACTTTATTTGGTCATGCCATTTAACTTCACTGAGCCTCCATTTACTTACAAATGGGGATGGTAATTATTAAAATTAGGATAATATTTCTCTACATCATGTGATTTGAGATGTTTGGATGGAAAATGTTATATGAGGACAAAAATTATTTGTATGTTTTAATGAAGTAGATTATAAGTAGTTTTCTGGAACAATACCTTGTGTGCTAACTTGTGGTACTATTTAGGGACAATAAATTATATTTTAGAATGAAAATTACCAATATAAAAATTCATTTATATTGTGACATTAGCTTTTTGAATTAGAACGACAGTGAACATTTAAGTCTAATAAAGTTATGAGCTTTACACTACAATGTATGTGACTGGATGATGGAGAAATATACTGCTCAAATGTGCATTCAGAAGAAAGAAAAAGCCTTGAGAATTTATTTAGGAGCAAATTGGGATTTTCAATAGAAGATTAAGATCAAGGATCACTTCACAGTATACTTGCACACTATTACAGTACAGGCAGTCCCTGGGTTACGTACAAGATAGGGACTGTAGGTTTGTTCTTAAGTTGAATTTGTACGTAAGTGGGAACTGGCGTCCAGATTCAGCCGCTGCTTAAACTGACCAGCGGCTGACTACAGGAAGCCCGAGGCAGAGTTTCTCTGCCCCGGGTTTCCTGGAATCAGCCGCTGATCAGTTTCAACAGCGGCTGAATCTGGACG